CGGGTCTTCGTGATAAAGCTGCGGTGGGAGACAGCCGTCCAATCGTCCCTCTGGGCAAGTCCTAAGGACGCGGCGTATTTTTTTGGCAGGCATTAAGGGCCCAGGAGTCTGGCGCGGAGCAAAGTAGGGCAAGGGAGACCACTGCTGTGCGCAGTTGCCACTCGCCTCCAAACTCTGCCCTGCCGATGGTGCCGTCGTTGGCCCAGATCTCCGCCAACCCGGAGGCTTGGGCCACCATGTGTCTCCAGGCTCCCAGGAGTTCGCCCACGAGCCAGGTCGGGGTGAAATCAGCGGGGCCCGGTTGAGCTGGGGAGTAGAGGTGCTCTGCGATTGGGGCATACCGCATGCCTGCCCTGACCAGCTGTAGTAGCAAGGTGCTATCAAGAAGGTCGAGTGCGTGCCTGTTGAGTGGTTGTTCCGTGTCGGCGCTGGGGTGAACCTGGTGGGGGTCGCCCGATGACCGCTCGCCCCCGTTATAGCTCCACGGGTTGGCCAACCTCTGGCAGGTGATGCAGTGTCGGCCCGTAGGGTCTCGAAGCATCCACGACCCGCAGAAGTCGCACCGTTGCGTCGGGCAAAAGAAGTCCTGTAGAAGCAGGCGGTGCGCTGTGGTGGACCAGGGCCATGCGTTGTCATTTCTGTCGCCACCTTGGATCGCTACCCCAGGGATGCCCATTGAGCTGGCCGTTACTCCTGTTAGGGCTGGCTCTGCCCATGGTCCTGGGCCTCTACCTGCTTGTCGTCTCGAGTGCACATCGTCCCCAACCCGCTCGAGACTACCCCTCCTGATGGCCCACTGTCTGATATCCCCGTGGTCCAGAAAGTGAACTATGTTTTGCCTGCGCTCGTGGATTAGGACTCTATGTGCGTACGCCCTGGTTTCGTCGTCCATGGGGTCCTGGGTACCGTCTGGTCGGTTAGGGCCGCTACTGTGCGAGGGCACAGCGTCACCGGGAGACCTGGTGGGCGAGAGCATGCTGTCTGTGTCGTATCCATTCGGAAGTTCCATACCTATGTCGCAGTGGTGCGCTGCAGTCGCCATGGCGGCGTACTCGAGACGCGCTAGTTGCCTTTCCGCCACGGAGGGATCATCTGCGTCCAGTCTTTCCCTCCTTATACTGGGGTCATGGGTGATACTCGCGAAGCGGAAGGCTAGCACTTGTGTCGGGTCTGGTTGCGTACCCCCGAGGCGTCCTTCGTGGTCTCTTCCCGTGACTGACCAGACTAGCCAGGAGAGGTCCAAGATGGCGAGGGTTGGTGCCGAGGTGGCTCGTTGCGATCCGAGCCCAGGGAGGAGAGCTTCGGTTGGAACCGCACGCAGGGGGCTGCCTACCCGTATGCCTGGATGACCAGGGCGGTGCCCCCTCCACGCGTGGTGCGTGAGGAGCTCCAGGTTCCTGGTTTCGCGTGGTGTCCTCGGTGCCCCTCGATCGGGAATTTCACGCCAGGGGCCATCGATACGCACCAGGTGGCGACGGAGGGCATTCATGGTGCCTCCCCTGCCAGTGACCCTAGCGTCAGCAACGCGCGGCCCACACATGGGTCCGTCAGCCTCCCGACTGGCTGCCCAGTCTGCGTTCGTGTGCCCAGTGGCGTCCATCCATCGAGCGTGCAGGTCGGTTGCGCACTGTATCTCTATGGGCTTGGCTGGTGTCATCGTCTGCGTCCGAGGGGGCGCCCTGGTTTTCCCTCCGCAGTTCCTCCTCCAGGGCTAGGTCAGGAGAGGGGTAGGGGAGTGGGACGGGCGTAACGGGCGTTCTGGGAGCCGCGCGCCTCAACACGAATGGAGAACCGTTGGCAGCCCTGATGAGGGGTCCCCGGTCCAGTCCTTGGGACGGGTCTTCGCAGCCGTGGCCACTACCGTCCAGAAGGCCGTCTGGATGCTCTAGCCCAGGGGGTGAGTCGGGAGAGGAGTGGATGGGAGGGGAGCGGGTAGGCGAGGAAAGGGAGACGCAGGGCGATCCCGCGACGACGATCGGAGGTCCGATGTGATCGATCAGATCGACCAGGGAGCCTGTCACGCCGGCGGGGTCTGCGGAGACCCTGCTGGCATCGGGCGTGCGGAGTCGGCCCGCGGACAACGCTGTCGTCGTTCCTAGGGAAAGTTGGTCGCGGTCGGTCGTTTCAACATTATCAGCAGCGGGACGTGCCGCTCTGTTACCCCTGTCTCCCAACTCAACTGTCTCCTGCTCGCTTCTTCCTGGCTGAAGGCCAGTCCCGTCGGTGAGGTTAGCGGCGTGGGAGCTGGGCGCTGCTGCTGTAGCGGTGCCCATGTCTCCAGGGAGGGGAGCGGCGGTGTCATGGCGGCAGCCAAATGATCCGCTTGTGCCGCTGGCTGCGCCAGCCGCGCGGTCCTCGAAGTGTCTCCTCTGGGACGGCCCCGTTGTGGAGCCAGTCTCCTCCATGACTACGTCGGCGGGGTCGGTCGGTCGTCCGCAGCTGGCAAGGGGATCCACCTGATGGGGGAGGCCCTGAGTGGATTCACCAGGGATGGCAGAAGGGTCGGTGTCGTCGCCACTCGTGGTCACAGCTTCTGCGGCGCTCTCGGCGTCCACTGGCGCTGTCTCTGGTTCTCGAGCTGAAGGCTCGTCACTTCTGATATTGCCCGATACGCCTTGGAGCCTCGAGCTGAAGGTTCGTCCCGCATGAGAATCCCGAGCTGAAGGCTCGTCCCGTCTGCGACTGTCCGAGTGGGGGGCGGGGGGCTGACGGGAGTCCTCGGGATTACGGGAGTGACCAGGGAGTTGACTGGTCGCCGCGTCGCCGTCGGCGCCCCCCAGTCCGTTTGAAGCATCCCGAGCTGCAGACTCCCCCATACCTGCTGTCTCGCACGGCGCTCCAAGGGCTGAAAGGCCCATCTTCTGCGTGTACCAAGCTGCTGCATCCAGGGAGGGCGGCGGGCGTAAGGCGACAGCCGTCTAGACGTCGGCTCACGTCCGCGGGGGGAGTCGGCTGCACGACTGGGACGCCAGCCTCCACGGTTTGGCCCCTTCGCAGCTGAAGGCTGCTTGATCTCTCGGCATTGAAGCGTCCAAGGGGGGGCGCTCGGCGGAATGGGGGCGCAAGCCCATGGGATGCGGATCGGGGACATGTGCAGGCGTCTGTCCGCCCCCCCTCCTGTCGTAACCGTGGTCACCCTCTTAGGTGGCCTCAACCCTAGGCCACCCGCCCTCGTCGGTGAGGCTCCTGGGCCGATCGTCGAGAGCGCCTCTCTGGCGGTCGCTCCTGCGCGGCCAGAATGGGCCTGAGTCTCTCGGGGGATGCTCTTCGCCGGGAACGGGGCGATCTCCGAGAGCGCCTCTCTGGCGGGAGCTCCTGCGCGGCCAGACTGGGCCTGAGTCCGTCGGGGGATGCACTTGATCAGGAGTGGGGCCAGCGCCCCCCGTGGTCCTGGCATCGCCGTGGGCGATCCAGTTCTGCCCTTCACCGCCAGGAGAGAAGGAAATTGGACGCCCAGCCAGGGGCAGAGAAAGTGTCGGGGTAAGGGAGGGAAACAAGTCCGGCGGGAAGGAGTTGTTACTGTCATTGTCAAACCCAGGGAAGCGACTGAAGGTCGCAATATCAGTGTGTCTCGCGGCGCTAACCGTGGCACCCCCTCCTCCCGTCTGGCTGAAGGCCGATGGTTCTCGTGTGTATGTAAAATCGACGGGAACGATCAAGGGGTCCGCGGACGCGTTCGGACCGCCCGTGCTCGGAGGGTCCCAGGGAGCGAGGGGCGACGGCTGCCCTGGCGGGATGGTGTCCTGTGATCCTGGGGGAGGATGTCTTGAACCAGCCAGTCCGTGAGCCCCCTGGCCGTCGACTGGGCTTGCATCGTCACCCGCGGAGTTCCCAGGAATCCTAAGCGGAGTTCACCCGGGCTTGTCGTCGATCGGGTTCCCATCCATGCTAAGCCTGACCTGCAGGCTGGCTGCCGCGCCGCGCCGCAAGGGCGAAACCCAGGGAGTCTGATATGGCCGGAGCGCGGCCCGGGGGGCAGCGCGCGGCCCGCAAACTCCTAGGGGATGACCCCTTGAGCTGGGAGACCCGGCCGAGGAGCCAGGGCCCAGAGACGGCTTGAGCCAAAGGGGCTTGAGCCAGGCTACGGTCCTGGTGGGGACACGCGGAGCGTCAAGAATTCGTTTCACGCCAGGCCTTGCTCCTCGTTCCCCTCCTCGTCCTCTTTATCCCTCGCCCCCAACTCCTCGTCCTCCTCACTTCTCCTTGCATTCTTCAATCCTTCAACACACCCTTACTGATTTTCGAGACGCCGCTATAGACGCGCAAGCCACACATGATTTCACAACCGTGTTCCTGATTGAACACTCGGTTTCTACCCCCCAGAGTTGGGAACACCCGGTGTTCGACGCCCCCCCCACCACGTTAGGACCAAGCCAGTTGCGGGGGGGGCACGCATCTACACATACATATATAAATTTGTGTACACACACATACACGTGTATGTCTGTATACATCATATGCACAGGGCGACCTATCTATATATCTATATATATATATATATACATAAGTACATCGGAGGAGGAAGGAGGAAGGAATGACGATTAGTAAGGAGGATGAGGATGATGAGATAAAAAATAAGGAGGGGGACGGGATGAGGCAATATGAACTAATAGGAAGGAGGAGGAAGGGTGGTGGAGGAATGGAGAAGGAGGAAGGAGGAAGGAGTAGACACATTGAGGAATAGGGTGATGAGGACAAAGGAGAAATGATGAAGGAGGATGAGGATGAAGGAGGATGAGGAGGAAAGGGAAGGCAGAAAGGGAAGGGGAGGAGGAAACCCACCGCCCTCGTCAAACCGCCACTCCTCATGAGAGAGGTGATCTTCCCCCTCCTTCTCCTCCTTCTCCTCCTCCTCTATCTCCTCCTCCTCCATCTTCTCCTCCTCCTCCTCCGCCTCCCTACCTCACCTCCACCACCTCTTCCTTTCCTCCTTCTCTGCCTGCTCCTCCCATCGCTCCTACCTCTTCCCTTTCCATGTTCCCCTCACTTTTTCTCCACAGCCTCCCTTGCTTGCCCATGAACTCCCTCCGCCCGGAGAAGCGGTTTACCATCGCCACCCGTGGAGCGCCTCGTGCTCGAAAACGAGAGTCCGCAGAGCGAGGGTTACGACAGGGTCGCGGGTAAGACTGCGGATGGTGACGGCGGCGCCCTCCCTGCCAGGAGGACTGGGCAGTCAGCGCTGCGACGGGGACCGGCCTGGCCCACAAATTTTCGGCAAAAAATCAGAGAGGTTCTTGTTGGGCCAGTTCTGATATCTCGGCACTTAGCCTGGTTGTCAGGGATCCTCCGTGTCGTTCTTGTTCGCTCATGAGTTTGCGATGTCGATTGTTATCGTCGGTTTTTGAATGATGGATTCGTGGCTTGAGGGCGGCCAGTTGGGATCGTCTGTGAGCCTTCGAATGGCAGCAACGTGGTTGTGGTTTTCAATGTCGGGGAATATTTACATTCTTGGCATGTTTCTGGTGCATATGTTGGCCTTCATGAGGCCGCTTTGGAATTTTGTTTGGGCTCAATCTGGTCTCGAAGCGGCAATGCTGGGCCATCCTTGGGCCTTTTGGGGCCATCTCGGAGCCTCCTTGTGCCATCTTTCTTGGATTGGGCCCATCTGAGACTACTTCAGAGCCATCAGCCATCTTGAACAGTATCGGGGCAACTTGGGGCTCCCGGAAGTGCTGAATCTGGACACTTTGTACAAACCTTTTCCCGCTAATGTGGACTACCCACCTAGTGTCACCCCGACCTCGGCGACACCGAGCCTAGCCCGCGCGGAATGGCCGTGACATTTTCATTCTAGTGACACGCTTGTCTCGACATGAGGTTCCGACCTGTGCGCAGGCCACATACATGATTGAACATGTTGCCGTCGCTCAGCTTTGTGCCAAAGACATCCTTCATTGAGCACGTCATTCTCGCATTGGCGCCGGCCACATGTCTGATTGAAAATGTTGCGGTCGACTAGGCCCAAGGCGCTGGCGACATCCTTCATTGAGCATGTCGTTCTCGCTTGGCGCCAGAAACATCTCGGATTGAGAATGTTGCTGTCGCCAAGGAGCCGGCGACATCTTTTATCGAGAATGTCGTTCCCGCCTTGGCGCTGGACAAATCTCGGATTGAAAATGTTGCTGTCGCCTAGGCGCTGGCGACATCTTTCATGGAGCATGTCGTTCTCGGCTTGGCGCAGGCCGCATGTCGGATTGAAATGTTGCTGTTGCTTCGTCGTCGGTGACATCCTTCACTGAGCATGTCGTTCTCGCTGTGGCGCCGGTTGCGCAAGCTTCGCGATCGCAGCCCCATATGCGGCCAGGTTGGTGCCAGGGTGTCGCTTGGGCTGCTTCGCGTTGTGCTACTGGTTGCAGAAGTGCCGGTCACACTGGCGCTGCTGGTGCCGCTAGTAGTGCTGCGCATGGAATTGCTGATTTCCGTTGTGTTGGTCGCAGTGGTGCTGCTTCCAGTGATGCTTTGCGCACCGGTACTTGCACTTGTGCTGGTGCGCGTAGTGCCGTTGTTTCCACTTGGGCTGGTCGCAGTGGTGCTGCTGGCGACGCTGGTAGTGCTACTCGTTGTGCTGCGGCTCCCCTTCGTGCTAGTCACAGTGGTGCTGCTGGAGGCGCTGGTGCTGCTGCTTCGCGTCTGGCTGCTGCCTCTAGTGATGTGCGTCACACTGGTACTGCTCGTGCGCCTGTGCTGGTGCGCGTCGTGCTGCTGATTCCCGTCCTGCTGGTCACACTGTTGCTACTGGTGGCGTTCGTGCTGCTGCGCTTGGTGCTACTCTCTCCCGTCGTGCTGGTCACAGGGGTACGGCTCGTTACTCTTGTGCTGTTGGTTGCAGTTGTGCTGGTCACATTGGTGCTGCTGGTTGCGCTGGTGCTGGTGCGCTTGGTGCTGCTGGTTCGTATCGCGTTGGTCGCGCTGGTGCTGCTGGTTGCGCCAGTAGTGCTGCACGTGGCGCTGCTGCTTCCCGTCGTGGTTGTCACGTTGCTACATATTGTGGCGCTGGTGTTGCTGCACGTGGTGATGCTGCTTGCTGTCGTGACGGTCACTAAGGTGCTACTGATGGCGCTTTGATAGCATTATTGCAGTGCCGCTGGTGGAGCTCGTGCTGCTGGTTCCTGTCGTGCTGGTCCCACTGGTGCCGCTGGTGCTGCTGCGCGTAGTGGTGCTCGTCTTCGTCGTGCTACTCGCAAAGGCCTTGCTGGTGGCGCTGGGGCTGCTGCGAGTGGTGCTGATGTTTCCAGTCGTGATGGTCACAGTGAAATTGCTGGTTGCGCTCGCGCTGCTCCTGCTGCGCGCCCGACGCGCGGCGGCCCGCAGCCACCGCAGCGGGCAGTGGCGAGGAAGGCAGCGCGGCGGCCGCCAGACGCCCTGGACGACGTCGGTGGGAGGGCGTTGCCCAGGGGCCGCCGCTGGCCAGTTTAGCCGCCTCTCCTGGCCAGGCAGGGCGCCGGTGCTGGGCGATGGATTTGCTGGCCGGGACGGGCGGCGGCAGGCTGCGGGCGCTGACGGAGGGCCGTCAACGAGGCATTGCCCCGCCCTCGCGCTCGCCCTGTCGTTATTCGGCAGCGCTGCTATTCTAGGCGCCGGCTGGAGCAACTCTTTCCCTTGGGAGCGACCGCCGATCGGGTTAGGGCGGAGCAGCAGTTACACATTGTTCATTTTTCATTATTCGAGAGTGCCTTAATGCTCGTTGCAATGCTGGTGCTGGTGCTGACAGCGTTGATGCTGCTTCGTGCGGTGTTGCTGCTCATCGTCGCGAGCGTCATACTGGTGCTGTGCATATCACTCGTATTGGTGTGCGTGGTTGTGCTGCTTGCTGTTGTGCTGACCGCAGAGCTACTACTGGCGTCGCTTTCGCTGCTAGCGCTACTGATGATGGTGGCGCCGTTGCTGCTGTAATGCTCGTCGCGGTGATTCTGCTGGTTGCGCTAGAGCTGGTGCGCGTCGTACTACTGGTTCCCGTTGTGCTGGTCAATCTGGTGTTGCTGGTTGGTATGGTGCTTCTGCGTGTCGTGATGCTGCTTTCCGTGGTGTTCGTCATAGTGGGGGTGCTGGTGGTGTTGTTGGTGTTGGTGGTGCTGCGCGTGATGTTGCTGCTTTCTGTGGTGTTCGTCACAATGGTGCTGCTGGTGGCGCTGGTATTGCTTGCTGTCGTGCTGGTCACAGAGGTGCTACATATTGCGCTTGTGTTGCTCGCGCTACTGCTGCTGGCCGCGTTGATGCTGCTGCGCGTGGCGTTGCTGCTTCCGGCAGTCCTCGGCGCAGTGGCACTGCAGGTGGCAGTGGTGTTGCGCGTAGTGGTGTTTTTTTTGGTCGTGCTACTCCTGATTGTACTGCTGGTGGTGTTTCTGCTGCTGCTACTGTTGGTGATGCGTGTTCCTGTCGGGCTGGTCACAGTGAACTGCTCGTTTCGCTCGTTTCGTTCGCGCTGCTGCTGCTGTACTAGCGACGCGTTGCGGGTCGTCGTGCGCATCTCCGCCAGGGCGCGGGAGCTGCGGTGCGAGGAACGAGCAGCAGGCGGCTGCGGAACAGTCTGCGGGCTCTGCCCCGGGGTGCCCTCGGTGCCCAGCGCAAAATCGAACGAACTGGGCCGTGACGCTTTGCACTCTTGCACGGGAGCAACTCCTCCCCGCTGGCCTGGCTGGCGGGGGGAGGGCTGCTTCCTCAGTCCAGCTTGAATCGCCTGGCGCTGCTGGTTCCCGTCGTGCTCGTTCTGATGGAACTGCTGGTGGCGTTGGTGCTACTTTGCGTGGTGCTGCTGCTGGCCGGACAGGGCGCCGGCCAGGCGCTCGAGCTCCTGGTCGGGCTGGGCGGCGGCAGGCGGCGGGCGCAGACGGCGGGACCGCGAGGAGCCACTACTCCGTCCTCGCACTGGGCCGGGCAGCAGTTGCTCGGGGGGTGGAGTTCGCGCCGGCTCCCAGCCAAGCTTCGCGCGGATGGATGGCGCATTTCCGCTCGGGGGCGCCCCTGGTGCCCAGCGCAGAATCGAGCGATCTGGGCCGTGACGGTTTGTACCAGAGCATGAGAATTCCCCACCCGCCGGTCTGGCCGGCGGGGGGGGTAAGGGAACTCTTGCAGTCCAGCGCGAATCGCCAGGCGTTGCTGGTTCTTGTCGTGATTGCTCTAGCGGAAGTGCTGGTGGGGTTCGTGTTGCTGCGCGTGGTATTGCTGTTTTTCGTCGTGCTGTCCACGGTGGTGTTGTTGGTGGTGCTGGTGCTGGTTCGTGTCATGCTGCTGGATCCTGTCGTGCGCGTCACGGCGGTTCTGCTCCTTGCGCACGCGTTGGTGCGTGTAGTGTTGCTGATTCCCGTCGTGCTGGTCACACGGGTATTGTTGGTGGCTTTTATGTTGCTTCGCGTGGCGCAGCTGCTCCTCGTCGTGCTCGAGGCTCGTCACAGTGGTGCTGCTTGAGGCGCTGGTACTGCTATGCTTGGTGCTGCTGCTTGCTGTCGTTGTGGTCACAGTTGTGCTGCGTCGCGTGGTGCTGCTGCTTCCCGTCGTGGTCGTCAGACTGGTGCTGCTAGTTTCGCTGGTGCTGGTGCGCGTGGTGGTGCTGTTTGTCGTGCTGGTCATAGGAGGTACTGCTGGTGTCGCTTGTGTTGCTTGAGCTCCTGCATCTGCTGCTGCTGCTGCGCATGGTGCTGCTGCTTCTGGAGCTGCTGCTTCTGGTGCTGCTCGTCTCAGTGGTGCTACTGGTTGCGCTAGAGCCAGTGCTCGTGTGCAGTGGGATGCCTCGCCCACGATTGCGAATGATGTTCTCGCCTCACCGCTGGCCACATCCACAATTTCGATTGTCGATTGTATTGGCCTTAGCCCCGGCCACATCCATGATTGCGAATGCTGTTTTCGCCACGGCGCAAGCCACATCCATGATTGCGATGTTTGTTTTCTCTGCAGCGTTTGGCGACATGACTGCGAATGTCGTTCTCGCATCAGCGCTGGCCACATCCATCATTGCGAGCGTCACTCTCGCTTCAGCGCCAGCCTCATCTACGAGTTACGTCGGCTGCTCTCGCCTCAGCGCCAGCTGCTTCCATGATTGCGAATGTTGTTGCCGCCTCAGCGCCGGCCACATCCACGGTTGCGAAAATGGCTCTCGCTTCAGCGCCGGCCGAATTCTCCACTGGAGCCGAGAAGGGATCAGTGATACAGGTGTAGGTTTTGAAGTGTAGGTTGCTGTGTCGCTCTGGTGGTGCGTCATTTGCTACAGCGCGCGCGTGACATACAGAAGTCGACGAAGTCTCGTTAGCTTTACTGGGTCAGGTTCGTTTTGGCGTGGTGTCGACAGGGGCTGGGTCAGGGTCGGTTATGGCTTTGCGGGCTTATGAGGGGGATTGTGCTGTCTGCGTTGCGGCGCGAAGGCGGTACGTATTTCGCTGCGCACAAGGCGCCTGGGTCTAAGACCTACAGCACAGGACTCGAAGCAGCTCCCCCCAAGACGCCGAGGTCCTGAGGGCGTCGCAGTTCCCAGAAGCATTCTGGTGGCACCTGATATCGAGCGACCTGAGACTTGAGGAGTTTTGTTTTGACAGGGCGTCACCATGATTATCTTTGACTTGGACGTGTCTGAGTTTAGGGCGCAGGGCGATCAGTCAGATCAGTCCGCGGCTCGACCCCGACCATACGGTCATTATTTACGGAGAGTCATCTACATTAATTTAGTACTAGTGGATTTCGGCCGATCCCGACACCGTGCTCCAGTCTCTCAGGGACCCCGTGGCATTCCTTGGAGCCTCTCTGGGGCGTCTTGGGCTCCACGACCTCCCCAGAGGGTCCCGATTCCGGGACGGTCACCAGGGAATATGTGAGCGCAAGTCGCAAATTCAGATTCCCAACCAACCGTCCAGGGCATCCGGAAACCACACGACCTAAGCCAATAAAGCGCCCAGATCGGCTTTGAAATCCTGTCAGTTGAGAGACTGGGGCGCTTTAGAATTTACAAAATTCAATATAGATTACCCTCCGACCTGAAAAGGGAACCCTCGGCGCCCGCGGCATGGTGGCGGTCCCTGAGGATTCCTGGCAGGGGGAATCATATCAGACGGAGGCCCCACTGTTCTGACTTCACATGTGAGAAATGGGGCCACAGCAGTTGGGGACAGAGGATCACGCCGCATCGCCGATGCATCCGCCATGCGGCTCAATCCAGAGTCCGATCGTTTCCGCCCTGAGATCACCAGCGCATCGGCAAGACATCGGCGATGCGGTGATATCCTCCGACCCCACCGGTTTCACCCCAATCCTGGGGGAGTCCACGAGGGGGGTGATTAGATTATTCTGGTGTGGGGAGGGATATCACGGCCAGGGCCTTGAGATCTCCCCGGATTTCACAGCCCCTCTCGTTCTTTCGATGCGTTTTTTGGCCCCCCCTGGGCCGCGCGTGCGCCTCGGGCCATGATTTGCGAACTCCCCCTTATGGACGCCCCCGACAGTTGTGACAGTTGGCATGCTCCTCCCTCTGTTCTGCTCTGGGGATTGTGGGACAACCATCCATGAAGTGGCTCGAGCACTTTGACACTGTCGACGGCTGCCCTGCCGTCGCGCGCGTCGGCATAGAGCTGCGAGGCCTCCTCGCCGCTCGCGGCCTGGCGGGCGATTGCTATGCAGCCCCGCTGGGTAAGCTGCGCTGCGGGGCCGGGACTCAGAATTGGACGTGGCGTCCTCTTGGGATTTTGGTCCCTACCGAGGCGGTGAACGCACCTGCTCCATCATGAGGGGACACGTGGTGATTCTCGCTGCAGCTTGCGCTGCGGGGATCGTGATCTCTAGTTTGGCGTTCTACACATTCGTCTATCGCCTTGGCGCAGGCTAGCCGCTTCTACGCCGACCCGTCTCTGGCATCATCTTCGTTGGATGCAAGCGCATCGCTTTCAGAGCAAGGTCCAGCGAACTTGGTCACTATCGCGGCGATGAGCCACTTGGGCTTCGCCTCTGACAGCAAATGCCTATAGCTTCGGCGCCGACACGCTTGCGCGCACTGCGACCGCTGCCTCGCCAGATTCTTTTCCTCCCAGCGCAATCACAGGTGCCGTCGGGTTGTAACCAGAGACAGCACGCACACGTTCAGCGGACGTCGAGGCAGAGGTGCAGAGGGAAGTCGACACGGCGGTTGAGAAGCTTCACGAGAAGGCGAGGGCAGATTCCGCAGAGATGGATAAGTTGCGTGAGGAGTACAGATACGCGATGGCAAAACTGGCGAAGGCGGAGGCAGCTCGCGAGAAAGCGGTGAAGGCAGCGAGGGCAATAGTCAAGGCTACGGGTGATGACAATGCGCTCTCTGAGGCCCAGGCAGCCGCCGCGGAAGCGGCGCTGGAGGAGCTAAGCGACAAGAGGGACAGCAGCGCTGTCACAAAACAGGCGCCCGCCTTTGTGCGCATGCCGTCACTGAGAGACCTCTTCCTCGAGGACCTGGAGCGCAGCGCGAGGCTGGGAATTGTGAAGAAGGTGTAAACCAGAGGTTTAAGAAATTTTGATTGTTTGATTGTGCAGATCCCCCTAGTGCTTCCAGGTGGGCCGCGAGCGAACTTTGCTCCGGCAGTGATGGCACTTGGTTGCGACCCCCGGCTCCGCAAGGAGGATCTCGAGGCTTGTCTCGGTCTGGTCACTCCTTGGACACAGCACATGTCGGAGAATCCAGTGCGCCACTGCTGCTCGTATGTGTGTTGATTTTCCCTCTTCCTTCCTGGTTTCTGTATCCCCCCCTCTGTTCCCTTGCGCCCCACTCGCTCGTTTTTTTTGGTGCACGCATACAGAAAGAAGTGGTGTTCTTCGGGAACGGACCAGCCACACTACAGCGTAGAGGTGGTTGACTCGTCCTGACAGACAGACTTTGTGATGCATGCGAGCCAGTTGGCTGGCCGACTTCGGCGCCCCATTTGCAAATTTCATGGTGCCGAGATCATGTGTAGAATCGTCGGTTCAGCGCTCTGGAGTGGCTGACCAGGGGTCTCTTGTTGATCCCCAGGATATCGCTCCGGACCGTGTAAACAATAAATCGGATCTTGCCGGGAAGCACCAGCCGCTTCCTCCACGCTGTCGGGTCTCCTCTTCGAGTTGGAAAGCCTGTTTCGGCCTCCTCTCTCTCCTCTTCATCCTCCTCCTTCTCCTCTTTACCGCCTCCTCTTCTGACAGGACTATCCACGTCTGCATGTCGCACGTCTCCCACCATCCCAGCCCGCTTGTCTGAAGTCTTGGTGGATTTTCCAAAACCTGTTCTGCTGCCCGGGCGTGCAAATATGGCACACCATTGTAACAACATCTTATTACCAGCGGGACGCCCCGCCAACTTAACCGCGCACCATCGAAGCTCATGCTGTCTAAGCTTACCATTGTTATCCGAAGATGCCGCGAATAAGTAAAACTGGGACGAACGACTCAGATCGTGCAGCACCGCGGTAACGTTGCAGACCTGTGGCGTTACTTGTTTGGCCTTTCTTGCAGGCTGAGCTTGCTTTGAGGCTTCTATAGGTCCTCATGGGGCTCGCACCGCGACGCGACCTCTTTGGGAATTCTGGAGGGTCTCTCGGGGCCTAGTAGGGATCGTAGGGCTGGCTTCTGCGCGATGGTTTTCCTGGGTTATCCCGAGTCGCCTCGGTACAATCACCATGGTGCCGTCTGGCAGTCTGATTGGGTCTTGGAGCCGTCTTGAAGCCCTATTGGGGCCATCTTTCGGCCGCCTGGGGGGGCTCTCAGGCTGTACAGCTTGGGCTCTCTTTGTGCGCCTCGTCGAGGACTTCGGGGGGCATCTTGTTCCATCATCGTGCTTTGTGGGATTATCCCGAGACCCTTGGCCGATAAGCTTGGTAAGCAACACGTACTTGAGCAACACCATTGCGGGCTTCATCTGACGTGTACTTCCCAGGGCCTCTTCCAGGGACCCCCCCCACCCGCGCCCCCAGAACATTTTTTTTTCCAGAGACGTACGGTAAGGTTCTTCGGGCGTTTCTTGGGAGCCGTTGGGATCCCATCAGGGCCTGTCGGAAACATCATGATGCTTGTAGTGGAGTCGCTGGCCCGTGATCGGCAGGTCTTGTGATTCTACGGGAGAAAGGCGGAGGAGATGGCTTCGAGCATCAACCCGGCACTTCCGTCATTCTGAGCCTTGAGGAGGAGTAGGAGGAGGCCAATTAGTAGTAGTAGTAGTAGTAGTAGTAGTAGTAGTAGTAGTAGTAGTAGTAGTAGTAGTGGTAGTAGTAGTGGTAGTGGTAGTAGTAGTAGTAGTAGTAGTAGTAGTAGTAGTAGTAGTAGTAGTAGCAGTAGTGGTAGTAGTAGTAGTAGTAGCAGTAGCAGTAGCAGTAGCAGTAGCAGTAGCAGTAGTAGTAGTAGTAGTAGTCGTAATAGTAGTATAGTAGTAGTAGTAGTAGTAGTAGTAGTAGTAGTAGTAGTAGTAGTAGTAGTAGTAGTAGTAGTAGTAGTAGTAGTGGTAGCAGTAGTAGTAGTAGTAGTAGGAGGAGGAGGAGGAGGAGGGGGAGGAGGATGAGGAAGAGGAAGAGGAAATATCGCCACATGCTGACGCATAAGGCCTGGGCAACGCATAAGGTTTGGCTCAAGTAGTAGTAGTAGTAGTAGTAGTAGTAGTAGTAGTAGTAGTAGTAGTAGTAGTAGTAGTAGTAGTAGTAGTAGTAGTAGTAGTAGTAGTAGTAGTAGTAGTAGTAGTAGTAGTAGTAGTAGTAGTAGTAGTAGTAGTAGTAGTAGTAGTAGTAGTAGTAGTAGTAGTAGTAGTAGTAGTAGTAGTAGTAGTAGTAGTAGTCCCCCCAAGGCTCTGGGGAGCCTGTGGGCGGGGGGGCTACTGCTGCCCTCAAACCGCGCGCGGGTGACAGTCACCCTTCCTTTTCTCGCGCCCTCACTGTTACGAACAATCTTCCTTGCCCTGAAGGGACGTCCTGGGATGGCGGCGGCCGCTGGCGGCGCTGCGGACGCAGGTGCAGGGGCTCGAGTGGCTGGGAGTAACGCCGCGGCGGCCCGAGGTGAAGGCGGTGTGCTGGCAGCTGCGGGAGGCAGCGGAGGTGCTGGGGCCGCCCCGTGCGCCTCCGCTGCCGCTCCCGCGTCGGCTGACGTGAACGCAGTCGGCATCCCCGTGGATGGCAACACCGACGTCCACATGCGGGACAGCGAGGGCCAGCCAGCACAGCGGCGGCGCCGCATGACGGGTGGGCGGATCACCCGTTGGTGCGTCAGCGCCCAGGCGGCTCGCGGCAAGAAGGCCCGCTGCACCCGCTGCATGGGAGGCTTCGAGGCGGGCGAATGGCGCGTGGCAGGCGCCGTGACGCCACCCGCGGGGCCCCAGGCTCACGCGGGCAGGAAGTGGTTCCACATGGCCTGCGTCGATGGCCCCCTACCACCAGCGACGGCGACGGTGGGCTTCACCCAGCTCCCCGAGGGCGACAGGGAACGCCTCACGGCAGCCCTGGAGGCCCGAGGGGGTCCCATCCTGCCCCGGGCTGCTGGAAACAGTCGAAGGCCAGGCCCCCGCTCCTCCCTCCCAGGGAGGTGGCGCGGCAAGGAGCACTGGGGCCGCCCCGAGGCTCCCTGCCGCCGCCGCGCCAGGGGCGTATGGCCCAGGCTCAAGGGGGACTCCCCTGGGGGCGGCCGGGGCAGCGGCGCCGACCGCGGCGGACATCCTGCAACCGCCACTCGGCGCTCCTGCGGGAGCGGACGATGATGGCGGACTTGAAGCAGGCGTCTACGACGACTACCTGGACGACCAGGTGACGAACGAGGACGCGTGCCACGAGGTTGGCTGTGTCAATCTGGACTGGTGGGATGCCATCGGGTGGGGCCGCATCCTGCTGCAAGGTGCGCCCACCACGGCCATGATCCCCGACAGCGTGGTGGCCGCCGTCAGCCGCGTGAAGGTGCGGCTGCGTTTGGCGATCGAGCAGGCCCGCCAGGGCAACGATGCTCAGGCGTCGAGTACGCTGACGAGGCTGTGGAAGGTGTCCCTCTCGTTGGACGGGCTGCTGTTCAGCGAAAATGCGACCCCAACCCCGACGACGCGGCGTGAGCGCCTCCAGGAGCGCTGACGGTGGATTCAGGACGGCCAGTGGGACGTCGCCTGGCTTTCCATGGAGGACCAGACGCGCACCGCTGTCACCGCGAAGGGCCGCGAGGATCATGTCGCAGCCCGTGCACGCCGTGTCACCGAGCTCGCACGAGCTGGAGAGATGTCTCGGGCGGCAGCGGCAGTGTGGCCCCAGGGGGACATGGCGGATGCAGCGGCGGTGGTGAGGAAGTTCAGCACCGCCCAACAGCCTGCGGCGCCTCGCCCAGGCGAATGGGGCCCTCTCCCTTGCACTGGGGCCGCCCCGCATGGGCCAGGGAGAGGGCCCACAGTGGCGGGGGCCGACGTGGCGATGCCGCCAGTTACGGCCCCCCACGAGCTCGACGGTGCGGCAGAGCTCCATCGCCGCGTGGCCAACCACCTCAAACGTCAGTTTGGCCGCTTCCCCCGCCGCGGAGGGGCGGGGCCTGGAGGAGGACGCTACGAGCACTGGGCCCCGCGCAAGTACGACGAGGATGGGGCAGAGGCGGTGGCCAACACGCCGGCACGCCTGGCCATCGGCGACCTCCCTCCCGAGGCGCTAGCCGCCCTGACGGCGGCGCGCCTCACAGGCATCCCCAAGGCACCCCCTGGGGATGTGCGAGTCCTGGGCTGTGGAAACGTCACCCGCCGCATGGTGGGCCGCAGCGCTGCCAAGGCCCACCACAAAGACATGCGGACGGCGGTGGGGGACCAACAGTTCGGCCTCGCCAAGGACGGACGTGGTGCCCTCCATCGACGCCTATGCACGATGGCCAACTCGAGCCCAGGCAAGTGGGCGCTGGCGGTGGACCTCGGGGATGCGTTCAGCAACATCCCCCGCGACCTGGTGAAGGGGGCTGTGCGCACCAAGGTGCCCGCTCTGGCCCCGCTGGCGGAAGCTTGGCCCCCTGCTCGCACGCGCCGCGCGGCGGGGGGCGAGTCGCAGCCCGCCCAGCTGGTCGACCAGATCCGCGGCCTCGACCAGGGCCGCCCGATGAGTCCAGGCTTTTGCGCGGCCGGCACCGCGGATGTTCTCAGCATCGGTCGCATGGCCGTGCGTGCGGTGGACGCGGAAGGGGACTGCCTGGCCTTCCTGGACGACGCGTACTTCGTGGGCACCGCGGCCGCTGTGTTCCGCGGCTTGGATGCCTGACGAGCCCGCGTCGAGGCCCACGGGATGAAGCTGAAGATGTCCAAGACCCAGATCAGGTCCCCAGATCCCCAAGCTGTCTTGCCGCCTGAGTTTGCGGAGTACGCCCAGTAACGCGCCCAGAAGCTCAAGGCGGTGGGTCCACCCTGGCCTACGCGAACCACGACGTGGACACCGACTGGAGGGGCGCCCCGCTCGCGGACTTCGCCGTCCCAGAGGATCTCGACGAGGGGGGCCTCGCGCAGGCTGGCGGCGCCGGGGCCGCCCCGAGCGCCGCCA